CACACGCACACACACATACACACACACACACACACATACACACACATGCAAACACACACTCCGAGGAAAAGAAGATTATTCTTTTGGCAATCTCCACGAGCTTGAAAAGAACGGAGCAGGAGGACCGACTCCTTTGGCGTGATCATGACTGTGTGAGTTGGCACGGGCGAGGCAAACATGTCTTGTCGCCTCAACAACTTTTCCAGCGTCTTATCGGGAATGGCGAATGACTTCTGAATTTTCGTCATGGTGATGTTGTTTGCCTCTAAGGAAATTTGAAACCACCCACCGGACAGCTCTCGTGGCATGCTGTCTACGCAGGAAGAATTTTCCCGGCAGTTTTCTGGGAATATTTCAACGGTTCAGTTGGAAGAAAGACGTTTGCCACATCTTTCTAAAAACGACTTTTTTTTTTCATTTCTTTGGCCGCAGAACTTTCTTTGTCACACATCCTTTCGACGTGAGGATCGGACTGTAAATATTCATTATTTACAATCAAATTCTCACTCCGAAAAAATATTTTGTAGTGGAGAAAGATCTGTACCACGGGAAAGAAAAACAGTAGATTTTTAGAAAGATGGGGCTTACAGTTTTTTTTGTGACTGAACCGTTGATTTGTAGAAAGGGTGTGTCTTTTTCTGCGTCAGGACATGCTCTCACAGCAATCGAATGATAAGATCTGAGTGTTATCTACTAACCGCGTGTACAGTACGCGTAGTATACTTGTGTGTTACTAAAATTGGAACGATATCGAGGAAGATTAGTGTTGTCACTGTGCGAGGATGACGGGCAAATTTGCGAAACATTCTAATACATTCCAATTTTTAGAATCTACAAAGACCTTTTGGAGATCACCATCTTTTATTTTAACATGTCACTGGGTCAAAGGACTCATGCACCGAGGCTACTTGATTAACAACAACAACAACAACAACAACATGTACCGGATGAAAAAAACCGAATATTATAATGTATTAATATTATGCATTTATTATTGGCTTGGCTTTTCCATCGATTTCTCGGGTAGGGGGGCTCGACAATCGAGGACAAATATAAGACTTTAATCTTCTGGCTACTAAAAGTGGGCGTTATTATAGTAAATACAACTACTTGGGCCCGTCCAATATAATAACATCCGGAAAGAGACACCTTTGATGAGTCCTGTCTCTTAAATGATCTAGCGAGTAGTTGGGAGGGTGGTAGTGGTGGTTCCTATTTGTTTACTTTCTCTCTGTTTTTTCTGTCTGTCTGTCTTGCTTTTCCCCGGCTCAAAGTGACCATTATTATGTTGATGTTTTTCTCTTTACTCAAACAAACGGACAAACAAAATGAAATGCCATGAGTCAAAGTTGTGTCGATTGGGGCGTTATAACACTTGCTTAAAAAGAAGAACCTTCGGTGAATATCGTAACTTCATGGAAGAACTTGATGATGATGAAAAATGTGCGGCGTCCGTCAGAATGTAGCCATGCACGTTTCAGATACTGCTAGACGTTATTGGATCACACGTACAAAAAAGGGCTGCTCATTACATTTTTAGAGGTTACAAAATTATATAGTCTGTGGGATAATTTTCGCCTTTTCCCTCCCCAGTCTCACATTAGAGCATTGTTCATGATTAAGGGAAAAATATTTTTTACGTCCCTTCATCATTATTTAGATTCTAGATCATTTAAGAGACGGGCTTTGGACCGTAGTATCCCTGTCAGGGCCAGCATGAGCTGAGAGAAGGATTAGGTCCCAGCAGAAAGACCCTAGATACTCGATAAACATTCTGCCACTCGGGAATCGAACTCCGGTCTTCTGCGCGGAACGGAAAAGAGCCTAACCGCTCCACTACCGACGCCGCTCGTTCTCAGTTTGTTAATGTAGATTTTTTTCATCTTTTGTTTCGTCGTGAAAACAACGCGTGCCCACACAGAACAGCTGCTACAGTATAGTTGCCGTCATAGAGTTTCCCGTTTACGCACGCGGCCAAGTTTACTTAACGTTTGTTTGTTTGTTTTTGTAAGTGTTTTACGGCGCTCGCAACTGCATAAGGGCATATGAGTGCGCGGGACACACCTAATATTTTTCAGTTGTTGGAAATTTTGAATTTTGCCCTGGTGGCGCCGAAGCCTACTCTTATCGATTTTAGACCACTAAGGGATCTTTAACGTGCGCAACTTGCACAGGGGCCCTCCGAGATTGTTCGCCCTTGTCCGAGAAGGCTAGGTGTAGATCTTTCCTACCAGAAGATCAGGGGTGTGGCTGAAAGACAGCAGTAAGAAGAAGCCAAGGAGTAGCAGTAGAAAGGCTGTAGAAAGAATCAGGAGCCCAGGGGAGGGGGGGGGCAAAGGAGATGAGGGAGTGGGGGCAGAAAGAGGAGACGAAAGCAGACGACAGAACATTGCTAGAGAGCAGGAAAGGAGGTGAAAGGAGACAAATTTAGAGAAGAAATATTTTCGGTCTCTACCCGGAATCGAACCCGGGACCTTTGAATGAGAGGCCAACACTTTAACCTCTAGGCCACGAGAGCCCCCACTTAATGTTTCAAAGACAGCCCAGAGAAAATACATTTTTAAAAATGTTGAGTGAATTGAGATGCTGTCATAAGGAAGACGTTCATCTAGAAGTGACCGCAGCTAAGAAAGGACACGAGACGTGGTCTCTGTGACGTTGATTATTCAGCTGGAGAATTCAGTGACGTATTTGTGACACGTCCTGTTTTGCACGGTTATCGAACATCGTACTGGTCGTGGTTAGTGGCTGGTTTCTCATACTCAGTGCACTTTGCCCATTGGAGACATTTGATATATTCGGCGCCAGCCAGATTTTCCTTCTTGTAGGCTGGGAAGGGGAGGGGGGGGGGGGAGCGAACGCTATAACTTTGTCACAATTCGGTCGAATCCTGCAAAATTAAACATGTTCGCTTTAACCGAATAGGTCGTATCCGTCGTCGTCAGTAAGAACAGTCGCTTACAAAGCTTGTAACCTTGTAGCTTGTAGTCACATGATATTGCGATGTCAAGGTCAAATCTTTTGTTTACGCGGGAAATGCGATAATGGACAGTGTTGATTTGGAGATGCTGATAGAAAGCTGTCGAAATTTCCCATGTCTGTGGGATTCAAGAAGGTCTCAACGCAGCAACCGCGATATGCGACAGTCGGCACTTGTAGCTAGCTATTATTGACAGAAATGGCTGTGTTGTGAACAGTAATTTTTTTTTTAAAGACAACGCCACACGGTACCGGATGTGACCTCTGCAACAAATTCTTCGGTCACCGATGGTCAAAGTTTTATTTCTGCTGTAACTTCCGGGTCATGTTTGATGAAGAAGCAATTCGGTGGTCTATTCGTAGTACGCACAGAAGCTGCCATTACGCTACCTCAGAATTACAAAGTTCTATCTCCCCAGTACCTAGTTTTTAATTAAGAAATTTGACGCCAAAGATTTTGAGTTTGACTTCGTGTCAAGCTTTTTCGAATGTAATTCTTTGACTATCTTGATGACAACTCCGAAAAATCTTACGATTTTGATAGACCATATATAATATTTGGTTTCTAACCTCATGATCTTAGTAACTCAATACAACCAAAAATGTCAGATGGAACTTTGAAATTTTGAGGTAGCGAATAATCGATTTGACCCGACCCGATCCTGCATGTGGGTACCCTGTAAAACTAAGGAAAACGAAACAAAAACAATGTCTCAGTTTGACTCATGGCATCGCATGGGGCAACAGCTTCTTCGGTCTCCAGGAGTCAAAAGTTTTCTCTGTTTTAATTTGTTGATCATGTTTCGACGGCTGAGCTCAAGGAGTGACTAAATCCACTTTTCAGAGTTTCAAGAAAAACGAGTTTGAAGTTTTAACGATATTGAAATCTCTATAAAATAGTAAAAAAAACCCAAAAACAACAGCAACCAAACCAACGTTTATCTCGATCGAATTAAGCTACGTCGTATATACAGAGGTAAAAGAGCGGCTCTACACATATATATATATATATATTGATCATTTCGACCAAAAGTGGATATAATACAGCCACTTCTTGCGCTCAGCCATCGATTCGATGAAACAATTCATAGTACGCACCAAAGCTGCAATTAGTCGGTCCGACCTGACCCAATCCTGCCTATGGGCACCCTGCGTAATTAAGAGAAAAGCGAAACAAAAACGATGGCTCAATGCCCGTACTTTTACAGTTACGGTGTTTGTACGGGAAGTGAATAATATTAATATACTGTGTCGCCACGGCCCTTTCGAACTGAATTGTAAACACGTTATCCCGGCAATGTGTAGTGCGCACTAACCCCGTTTTTCCGTTTCTTTCTTTCTTTCTTTTTTTTTTTGAAAAGTAAAACGATTTGAACATCATGCGTACAAAACAGGAAACTTAAATTTAATTTTCTCCCGTTTCTGTTACCCTTTATCCACAGTCGCCATATTTATCTCTCACCCACATCCTCACATGCCCATTTTCTACTCTTCTTTTTTTTTTTCTTCCAATAGTGACATTAACCACAATAACAACACGGAGTTCCCCGCTGACAGACACAAAGCTTACGTTCTTCCCACCTTGATAAAACTGAAGAAAAAAAATGCTCGAAGTCGATCGACTCCCCCCCCCT